TAGCTCCTTAATATTTTTGTGTGCAGTCTTGCATTCAATATAAACAACAACATATGACATAGCAATTCAAATCCAAATGCGTTCGCAAATGTCCTTAAACGTGGCTCTTCTGCCGCTGCCTCTACTTCTAATATCCTTATTGTTTCAGTATTTTATTAGTCTAAGTTTTTATTGTTTGCTTGACATATTTATGCTTGTACTCATGTAGGTATGAATATTTCTATTTTAAAGTTATAAATTTTATTTTTGGCATAGAGAATTACAAAGCACTGACGGTTTTGTTATTTTTTTATAGATATAGATATATTGCCAAAATGACTTAAGTTGCGATTTCACTTAAAATGTCCTTTCTCTTATTGCATGTGTGTCACATTATTTTTTTTTATTTATGTTTTTTTTTTAAATTATTTAATATTTTATATGGAAACTTGCACAATAGCAATTTAGCATTTACTGGTTAAACTGATTTGCATTTGTGAAACCTTACGTGGACATGTACGACCATCACATACCCAAGCCAACTGTTATGTGCACCCATAAATTGATTTAACTGAGATACATGAACAATTCAATCATGAAACTTTGCCATAATCCGCTTTTGTAATGCGCTTTCGTACCGATTCCAATTTGAAGTTTTCAACTTAATTTTCCAGCAATTAGGTTTCGTCCTGCATACATACGAAAATATTATTCATATGCGTTTGCATTGATGTTGCAATATAGCTTGGGTTACGTAGAAATTGTTTTTTTAATGAAGAAGGAGTGCAATCTCATATAAAAATGTATTTCATTTTTCACTATATAATTCAATATTTACCTTTTTTCAGGCTTTTTTGGAGCTACCATATACATAAATAATGAATAGCTAAACTTATGTAAATAAATCAAAACATTTGATTTACAAGTACGTTAAGCATTTCAAATAAAAACAATTTTTGTAAACTGATTAATATATCACAGCAATCTATGAAGAATATACATATAATAATCATATGTTTATTATGTTCTTTATAAATATTACTCACATTTATGATAAAAAAGTTATTATTATTGTTTATGACGTTGACTCTAAGCCGCCATGGCTTGATAAACAGAATTTAACAGTCGAGACGATCAACTATTCTTTCGTATAGGCTATTAAATATGTATTAAAAAATATCGAAGATAATACAAGTTTTAAGTTAATGTCAGAGTGACGCTCTTCTGCAACAATAAACATTAAGACAATTTATACAGCATCGAAGCACCACAATAATATCCTCCAACTATTTTCTTTAACAGAATGACAGATTCGTAGGTAACTAAGTGTGGGTTTCCAAACAGTATCTCATCAAGTTAGTACGGATAAAAACGGTCGTCTAACTAGGACCAAGTGAGCAACAGACTGCTGACATAAACGTATTGGAAATCCTCGAATCCATTTCCATTTCTATTGTAGTATTTCATCCAGATATAAAAAATATATGAAATTGGCAACACTGACGTCACATTTTGACATTTAACTTGTTTGTTAAACACAATAAAAAAATAACTCTATATACGTCGATAGCAGACATAAATATTTATAAATCCTTATGTGATTCTTATATTTTGAAAAGAAAAGACCATATTATATATTAATTATATTGTCAAGGGTATGGTATCTATCACGTGTCCCCTCTTACTACCTCTTTATATATCACTGCGAAAATTTTAATACTATGGATACAGTTCCTTTGTATTCTAAATCTAAGGCAAGTTCCAAGAATTTCGACTCACATGAGCTACTAAAAAGATGATTCCGAATTTGAATACGATTACTTTAAGCATGTCAGAGTATATCAACTATATCTGATGGGCAAAAACCGAGTTTCAATTCTACAAATTTAACAATACACCTATAAAAGAACTATTGTTGGATGTTTCAATGTAATTTTAACAATAATTTTACTATAATTTTAATATATGAAATATTAGTTAAAGAAATTATTATTATCTATTGAGTGTATTCCACATAAGACAGGAGTTTTTACAAGTTTGTATTTGTAGGATTTTCATCTGTAGATAGAATAACTGAGCTATCCAAATTCTATTAAATTTTAACAGTACATCTATGAAAGATCTACCTTATCTTTTCCACCATATATTTGAAAATAGGTGACCTGGGATAACTACCTACATCTTTAAGTCAGAAACTTTGCTGTGTATGATATAAAAACATATAAATATTTTTTGATAACATAACAGTTTGAATTCCAATTTATAGTGGATTATATGTCATCACTATATATTTTCTAAAAAAAAATGTAATGTGTAAAAACACAACAAATTTTTAAAGAGCCAAAAGCTTCGGTCTCCCACTAGTTTATAATATTCTTAATTCGAAAATTTTATGGAAAATTTTCAGGCTTAAAATATAAATGCGCAATGGCCGTAAATGGTGCAAATAATTAAAATGGCGGCCAATGAATTGTAAAATTACCACAAACTCCATTATAAATAATCCGATTTTGGTAAAAACAATTAAGAAAATTAAGCACACAACAACAATTAATGGAAAAGCGAACAAATTTATCGCATTTTTAGCACTCATTTCAATGTAATATTTTTAAAGGAATATTTTTCAGTAGCACATATACGAGTAGTCCTTCTGGTTGTTTTTTCCTCCACTTTGGTGTACAGGGCATGCAACTAAAGATATGCAGCAGAGCTTTCCATTTAATATTTATTGCACGTACTCAATGAAGAAATTCCAGCAACATCTGCCAATTTCTTTTCAGCATTTCGACTTTCGACATTTTTAGAAAAATATTACGAGAATAAGGACTTTTTTATTTTCATAGTTTCGGTCTTTGGTTCTCAAATTGTATTGTGTACGTTGCCCTTCCCGTGCTACTGTGTTCGTAGTGTAACTACAATAACAACAGCTCCTCATGGTTGGTTAGTTGGTTAGGTCTTTGCTGCATAGCTGGCCTGCTATCTACTTAGTTCCAATCGCAGCTAATAACACCAAAGAAAGGAAATATTGGAGAGAAAAAATCGGTTGCAGGTCACGATTTGTGTTCGTTTCGCATTCGATTTGCGATTTTGTTGCTGAATCGCCGACAACGACCACGTTGATGACTTTGACTATTAAAACGATGACGATGGACATTTAATGGTGTACATTATGCGCATCAAATGTTCCAAATACCAGTACGAAATACGTTAAACCATGGAAATGTGCTGAACGAGAACTGCACATTTTATACATTATTTGTAATTTTGTAAATTTCTACACGTAGATGCATTCATCTTCGTTGCAGCTGGTGAATGAGCACAAGCACCAATGCTATGAGTATTTCACCGTGCAGATAATATAAACTGATTAGGGCAAGGGTCAGAAACTTCTGAACTATACTTATCTATGCATGCATAAGTAGCAATGCAATTGTGAAGGAATTAATTTTAATTATAAGAAATATTTTTACTTCCATAAAAATATCGAATTTTCAATATTTTTTAAGTATTTAATACAGATTTATAACAGCACAATTTATTTATGTTGTTTTTGTAACTCTTTGTGGAACGCCACCAGTTTCTACAGTCCTAATAAGCAGAGAACACAGTCTTCCTGTACTATTAGTGGTGTATTCTGGAAGGAATTAAGTCTTAATTATGTTTTTAGAAAATATGTGTTATAGACCCTTGATGTAGCAACTCACCACAGAGCTTTAATATTCGACATGAGATTATTTTAAAAATTAAACCAGCATGCGATCGAGTTAATTTGTAGGGGCAATTAATATGTATAGGAGAGTCTAAATACAACAACTCACCACTGAGGCCTTACACTACAAGTGCATGCGATCGATTTATAAGCAGAAATGATCGAATTGCAATATTGATTAAGCGATTATGGTGATGAGCATAATAACTGTGTGGATTCACTCCACACAGTTATTATGCTGTGTATCATAATTCCTTGATACAATCCCACATAAATTACTATAGGATCTATTATTATACCAATATTACTTCATAAAGAATGGAATGAAGAGAGAGAAGTGATCTGCCTCACAGTAATACCAAAAACACATCATAATATAGATACTATTTGATTTTTAATCTACTAGTAAGTAAAGTCCTGTATGATTTTGTTATCTTTAACGATCAGGTGATTTGAAAGCTACTTACCACATACCATTGCCATAAAATACTGACTTCACAGTATTCCCAATCATCTTAAGTTGCGATTTTTAAAATCTGAATCTGAACGTAGACAAAAGCTAAGTAAAATAGACTATTTAGAAAGCCCAGGCTTTTTAGCTTAGATAAATCTAGACCGCAAAGTATTAAGCCTCTTGATAACATCTTTCACCCTTAATTATTAAAATGAAAATTTAGCATTGCGGTGACAATTTTCTCCATTCATTCCTATGAGGTGGTTTTAAAAGGTTAATACTGCTAAAAATAAAAAAAAAATTTTGTGGATGGACAGCTATTCCATAAAATACTGTATTGAGCTGAGAGATGCGATTATTTTATTCACGTAAATTCCTTCAGAGAATTCAATATATTCTCTTTTCATTGAAATGGATTAGAATCAGACGAATACACGAATAACCACTGCCAACTTAAAATAAGAAGATTATCAAAGCTCTCAAGATAGTTGGACTAAAGATCAGTGTGAATGACCTTTCTTCCGAACAAGTTATTTTAAAGTTATTGTGGTTTAATATTATTTCTTTTTCCACGTACTATATAGCAATACTTCGGTAACCAATATATCGACTATATATTAGATATACAAATAAAAACAAGGGTGATCCTAATGATTATCCAAAGAAGTAAATAAGATAAGGAAACATTTTTTATTTAATATTAAAATTAATGTTAATATGTATCCAAGATATATCCAAGAGACAGTAAATTGCATTTTTAACAAATAATTATTTTTTATTAAATTTTTAACAATTCCAACAACAAACGAAAATCAATAACACTTGAAGCAAATGCCGTTATAGCATTCGATCGACTTCTTAAGCACGGTGTCTGAAGACGCGACGGCGTACAGTTCTGTAACGGTAACCATCTTCAGCTGGTTGTTCAATTTCAACAGGAGCTGGTGCAGGTGCTGGTGGTATGTATGTATTTACTGGAGCAACAGGTGCAGGAGCAATGGGAAGGGACAATTGTTCATGATGTACTGGAGCTGGTGCTGGAGCAACTGGTGCTGGTGCTGGAGGTGGAATATATGTGTTGACTGGTGCAGGAGCTGGTTGTGGTGCTGGAGCAATTGGTAAAGATAATTCTTCGTGATGTACCGGTGCTGGTGCTGGTGCAATTGGAGCAGGTTGTGGTGGTGGTACATAAGAACGTTGAGGTTGAGGAGCAGGCTGTGGTACTGGCGCTGGAGCAGGAGCTGGTTGAGGGTAGTTGTAGCCCAACTCAGAAACGTCAGCATAGGCACAAGCCAAAAGAGCAAAAGCAATCACGAGGAATTTCTGAAATTGCAAAAAAATCATTTACTCGTATTATTGCTTGAAAAATCAATTTTATGCGATATTAATCTAGATTATTCTAATCCTTAACATTTCATCCTTAATGTATGTACCACATTGTTTAAACTTACCATTTTAATTTTTTTTAGTTAGTTAACTTCACAAATGTCAAAGCGAACTGATAATTGCTGAAACAGAAATCGAAGTATTTATATTGTCGATGTGGTTAATCAAGAAGTTTCTAAGCTTACAAACATTTGAAATGACCTCAAATAAAACTAGAGTTACTAGTTGTTTTGTTTTTGTTTCGTTTGCATGGGCCTACACTATCAGTAGGTTATTTATCAGATAAACTTAAGTCGTGATAGTCAATATTTAATCCAACAACAACTGTGGCGTAGGCTAACGTATATCAACAACCAATGCAGTCACATTAATTCTAAACTAATTTTCCAAAGCTTAAAATTAAATTTGACCCTTTAAGCTGAACTCAATGAAGCTTTGCTCATCTCAAACTGGGCTCAAAGCAACCTCAAGCCTTCGAGCAAAACTAAAAAGTGGCTTAGCATATCATTTTCATAGTCACCGCCTTACGCTGCTTTCGTTTTATTCATTTATGCATCTCGTGTGCGTCTCGTCTTCGTTATCTACTTCTTTAGTATGAAATGGTAAAGTATCTTTTAGTTTTACATATTTTACATTCAAATTAAGCATAGAAACCATGAAGTTAGCATATTTTAATTAATGGCTTCATTAAGCCCCTTTAACGCTTCCTCATTTGCATAAATTGTAAATTATGTTCACTTTTTTTATTAGTTTTTCTACTTCCGTTTTATTTTAAAGCATTTTTTGCATGTATTAATCAATTAAAATTTTTTTTTTGAATCTATTATTTATATTTTATCTATATTGTTTTTGCTATTAAGTTTTTTTAATTAATTCTAAACTAGGCTTTAGTTTAAGCAATTAGCTGCTAATTATTATAGGCTGCAACAGCTGAAGCACGCTTCAAATGCTTTTTAAAAGCTTTTTGAGTTTCTTCAAACTTAATTTTTGTTCATTAATTAAACTAAACTAATTTGTTAAAATTTATTTAAATTTGTTTTTAATTTGATTTACTTCACTGTGCCATAGTTTGAACAGTGGCTTTACTTAATCGCTAAAGCATAACAGTTTATGAGAAGCAATAAAAACCACAGCTGCAGTCGTCGTACCGTCGATTTCGCTTTCATTTGTTTGATTAAATCTTACCTTGACTTTGAAGTTAACAATTTATTTAAATTTATTGGATAAGGTTTGAGGTCAAATCATGGGAACGACATCTAAGTTCAACAGCCTGACAAGAAATTGTGATTTAATATTTTTAATTTTAATTAATATTACACCTTTCACACTATTTTAAAAAAGGGTGTATTAAGTTTATTAAGAAGTTTACAATTCCATGAAAGCAAAATGTGTATATTTTGTAAATTTTGACTTACAAGTACTTTTTGTTTAACATGTCGATGTTAAGGATTTGTTGTATGTTTCCACTGCTTACTCAAGTAAGTTACTTGAATAACTTTAAGTTTTTGTCGTTCACATTGCCTTAAGTTACTTATTGCATGTGAAAGAGCTTTTATGTGTCAGAAACTTCTTTGAATGTTTTAAGAGATCATCTGTTTAAATCATGTAGAACATACGACTAATTTCCTAAATTTTTGTAATTTCTCTTATGGGGAATTTATTTTTAATGGTTGCATTCGACATTTCTAATTTAATATTGTTAATATCAAGTAAGTTGAAAAGCACAAAAGCTCTTTGTATGGTTAATGAAATTTTTACTTAGCAATCTCAAGTAAATTAACTGGTCTAACGAAGCCAATGGAAACATAGTATAACTGAAAGGAGTAAAATATTTACAAAGTAATTTTCTGCTTTGATGTTCCGAGTGAATACTTATTTTTTCGTTCCACTTATGTTCCACGAGAGTTGAGATTGCTGATGGGATATGTAACGGGTTACCTCTGGACTGCGTTATCACCTTAACAAAATGGGTCTGTCCGAAGAGATAGATTGGCGACTCTTCTTAGAATCAGATGAGACTTCCAGTCACATTCTCTGTGACTGTCCAGCCATGATCTGGGCCAGGAAGAGGTCACTAGCTCGAGAACTACTCTTCCCTAATGTCGGTCCTTAACGGCTGACATTCTGGCTTTCATTCGGATGGCGGAATGTCTGCTGTTCGGCTAGGATCTGTTGCAACACGAATGATCAATCATGGTCGCAGTGCTCCGCTCAGCTGGGAGATAGTACCTCATTTATTCTTATACCTATGTATCACGAGAGTTGGAGATATATATATTGGAAGCGGTGCATAAATTATTTATTCTTAATATGGCTAATTGAGAGGGTGTTCAATGCATTTCTGCTTATAATACTGTATACTAACTATACCTACACCTTGATTTGAGTCTAATAACTTATATAACACTTCTGTTTCAAAATTGTTACGATATCAAATAGAATATTTTGGTAGGCATGCCCACTGAAATCTAGTATGGAATATTACACAAGTATTATAAATTCATTTTTTTATATATAAATGGAATAAAAAAGCCAGTTTCAACTACTTTTTAAACAAGACACTGTTGAAAACAATAAGATAAAATGAGAAAAATATTTGAAAAGAATTAATACATGTCCAATAGCCTTTTAACACATTTGAACATTAATCACAAACTTTATGGCCTGGAATGAGCATTGATGATGTGGAAATGTCAACTATTAAATGCCTGATTATGTGAACAGAGCAGACAGACTTTTTTATTTATATCACTTTTGCACTTTAACGCAATTGGCAGGACTTTAGTGATTATTGAAAGGTACAAATGGAAGTTCGAAAGAAACGAACCCATAACTTCTGTAGCCAATCTAGAACAAAGTGCAGTACACTTGTGGCTCTGCATACCACTTCAATTGAACTTGGTTAAGAAATTGGAATGCAGTCGTGAAATATTAATTTCGTGCACATTTTCAGCATGACTCAGTGATCCTGGTACGCACGTCAGTCCCAAGGACTAAGCGAATTTTATAAATTTGAACGAAGCGCGGCAGCGAAAGACGCCAAAATGCGCTGCAATGCTTATGGCAAAATATTAAAATTTAATGATTTTTTAGGCACTCAGTTTTATGCACGGAAATGAGAAAAAATGGAAGTGCGGAACTACTTCCAGTTAAGAGGAATAATGCAAACTATTAGTTCATTAATTTTTAAGGCAGCCGCAGGATTGCACGTATGCAGCAGTGCATTTGCATATAAGCCAGCGTTTTGCATTTGACTTCGCATCAAGAATTTGCATTTTGGCATTTCGCACGTACACAAATGGAGCCAGTAGAAATGCCGTGGAGTTTTGAAAAGTATTTGGCTGCAGAAATTGCACTATTCTTATCGGAGAGCTGTTTCCAGAAGTACACGAAATGTTGTGCAATAAAAAATATAAACAATTTGACTGAGAAATACAATTCACATTTCCATTTGTGCAATAAATTTTGTTATTTTATATTTTTCAGGAATTTTTTTTCACATCACAAGAGTGCAGAATATTGCAAATGAGGTTCACATCTATAACTTTTTACAAACTCCTTTTATCTTGCTCTACTTACAATTCTTCACTTTGGAAATAATAAAATTTATTTCTCATTTTTAATTGTTCATTATGCCACAAACATCAAATTAATTGCAAAATACACATCCATAACTAATTTTCTTAATACACTTGTCATTATAAATATTTACATATCATTTACATGATTAAACAATTAAAATCATTATTAGCTTCAGAGGGCATGAATGGGTGTGGCTGCAAAAGCCACTAAAGAGCCAACAATTTTTAATTGCCTGTCATAATTTATGCAAACAAAATGCTTAAAAAATCAAATGCAAATAAAAATAAAATTAAGTTTACGCAAACAGCAACAACACAGCAAAAAAAGATACAAATTGGTAAAAAAAAGTAGTCAACTTACGCCCACCCATGGAGTAGTAGGTGTGCATATTCCACACAAAATTTTGTAGACCTATGGATAAGTATGAATTGGCAGTGGTGTGCAGTTCAAAATATGGTCTCATTGTTTAATATATAGTATTATATGACAAAGCTTCTCGAAAATCATTAGTCAGAAGTTGTTTATTATCGGTTGAGAGCAAGTAGAGAAAAACATAAAATATTCGTAAAAAAAATTTAGAGTATGCGCTCATCTCATTTTATACAAATCAATGGTAAAGAAGCAATCCTATACTCTCTTTATATTTCATCTTCATCATCCTCATCATTCATTTAGAGGGAAGACCGTCAAAATTGTAGCTTGGTCACTTCTGCTGTTGCCCAGCTCTTGCTAGATATAGAGTTATCATCCAGCAGTTATGGCTTAACCACCTTTATGAAAGTATGCACCATCGAAATGTTCTAATAGATTTCAACCAATTAAGATTATATAATAAATAGTAGTATGCCGATGATACTGTATGGTCTATGTGACTCAATTTTTTCGCTGATTGCGTATTACAAATATATGTGGAAGAAAAATGTTCAAAACATAAATAAAGGGCAATACTCGTATGTATTTATTTTCGCCACTTGAAATCTAATAATTATTCTGAAATTTTAATTTTTTTTAATATATAGATGCCTTTTTTTTTATTAAAAGCAAACAAAAATGGTGAAAAAATCTACTGTGCAGAAATTAGTCTACTAAAAGCTGAATAAATGTTGAAAAATTAGTACTTGACAGTAAATCGGCGCAACATAGAAGAAATTTAGATAACAGTAACCAAAACTAATGTAATATTATTCACCTAATTTTCCTGCTCTTTTTATCTCTCTTCTCTTTTTTTCTTCTTAAAGTTTTTACTTGCTTAGCCACAATTCAGTCATTCTTTCACATAATTTATATTAATTAAAGGCCTATAACGCCATAAATTTATTGTTCAATATTATATTTGTACTCTTCTATCATTTTTC